GCGTCAGGTCAGCTTGCTGCCCCCTTCTCGTGGCGCGCCCTATCGCACCAGACGCTCCTTTGGCACCACTGTCTTGGTCACCCCTCTGTGGCACGCCTTCGTGGCATGCACTCCCGTCTCCTTGTCTCTGGTCTTCCCAGGTCTCTGCCTCCCCTCCCACCCTCGCCTGCCCCTCCCTTCCTTCTCTGTGTCGAGGGGCGGCAGCGCGCCGCTCCTCACTCCTCCTCGTCCCCCCGACAGAGGCTCCCCTGCAAACTCTCCACCTAGATGTGTGGGGCCCAGCCCGCGTCCGTGGACAAGGCCACGAGCGGTACTTTCTGCTGGTTGTCGACGACTACTCGCGTTACACCACGGTCTTCCCCTTGCGCCGCAAGGGGGAGGTCCCTGATGTTCTGATCCCTTAGATCCGCGCTGTTTCTCCAGCCTGCAAGCGGTTCGAGACGGACCTTCCTGTCTTGCATCTGCACTCTAACAGAGGTGGTGAGTTTTCCCCTGACCTCTTGCGGGCCTTCTGTCGTGCGGAGGGCATTCGCCAGACGTTCACGCTTCCGGCCTCTCCGCAGCAGAATGGGGTTGCTGAGCGCCGCATTGGCTTAGTCATGGAGGTCGCTCGTACCTCCATGATCCATGCGGCTGCCCCCCATTTTCTGTGGCCGTTTGCAGTCCAGTACGCTGCGCATCAGCTCAACCTCTGGCCCCGTGTCTCCTTGCTAGAGACCTTGGCGATGTGTCGGTGTTCCGGATCTGGGGATGTCGAGCCTTTGTCCGCGATACGTCTGCGGACAAGCTCTCCTCCCTCGCCGTTCCCTGTGTCTTCCTTGGCTTTGTCCCTGATGCGCCTGGTTGGCAGTTCTACCACCCCACCTCACGCAGTGTCCTGCCCTCTCAGGACGTCACGTTTGACGAGTCGGTTCCCTTTTACCGTCTTTTCCCCTACCGCACTGCCCCTCTCCCTCCTCCGCCGCTTTTTCTAGCACCAGGTCCTCCTCCGGTAGACCCCCTCCCCCCTCAGGGTCTTGCTCCCTCAGGTGTGTCCCAGGTAGACCCTGTCGAGCCTGTCGAGGTAGCTGTCGACTCTGGTACTGCTAGAGGTGGTGCGTCTGGGGGTGCTGAGCCTGCGGGTGCGGGGCCTGGGGGTGCTGAGCTTGAGCATGCGGAGCCTGGGGGTGCTGAGCCTGGGGGTGCTGAGTGTGAGGGTGCGGAGCCTGGGGGTGCTGAGCCTGTGGGTGCGGAGCCTGGGGGTACTGAGCCTGAGCGTGCGGAGCCTGGAGGTGCTGAGCCTGGGGGTGCTGAGCCCGAGTGTGCTGAGCCTGGAGGCCCTTCAGGTGCCTTGTCGCGGCCGGAGTCCCTCTCTCCACTGCAGCTGCGCGAGTGGTTTGTTCGGCGCTGGAGCCTCCGGAGTGGTGCTGCTGGAGCTGGAGCTCCTGGAGGTGCTGGAGCCACTGGTCGCGGAGGTGCTCGTAATGGGGTTATTGGAGCTGCTAGGGCTGGAGGTACTACTGGGGCTGCTGGAGGAGCTGGTGCTGCTGGAGCTGGAGCTGCTGGAGGTGCTGCTGGAGCTGGAGCTGCCGGAGGTGCTGGAGCCACTGGTCTCGGAGGTGCTCGTCCTGGGGGTACTGGAGCTGCTGGGGCTGGAGGTACTACTGGAGCTGCTGGAGGTGATGTTGGAGCTGGAGCTGCTGGAGGTACTAGAGCTGCTGGAGCTGGAGGTGCTTATGGAGATGGAGCTGCCGGAGGTGCTGGAGCCACTAGTCTCGGAGGTGCTCGTAGTGGGGGTACTGGAGCTGCTGGGGCTGGAGGTACTACTGGAGCTGCTGGAGGTGATGCTGGAGCTGGAGCTGCTGGAGGTAATGGAGCTGCTGGAGCTGGAGGTGCTTCTGGAGCTGGAGGTGGAGTTGCTGCTGGAGCTGGAGCTGGTGGAGGTACTGGTGCTGTGGGTGCTGTGCGATCGCGACCGTACTTCGTTCCACTGCTTCAGCAGGTTCTTGGTCTCTCGCCTTCTGCTGACCTTGCTCCTCCCTTCCTATGTCAGACGCCTGACCAGTCCCAGCCACAGCTACTACCAACCGCTCCGCTGCCTGCTCCTTCTCCTTAGACTGAGCAGACCGGGGGTCTTACTGAGCGTTGTGAGCCTGTGTCTCGTCCTGCGTCGTCTGTTCGCGCTGGTCGCACTGGTCGTCGTGTTCCGCATCTGCGTCCTCCTCCTGTCCCCGGCACGCACCAGATGGCACTTCGTCCTTCCTCTGTTCCACTGCGTGTCCCTCTGCCGTCTCCTCCTGCGTCCTCCTTTGCTGACGGTCCGGACCCGGAGTCAGACTCCCTTCATGCTGCTAGTCCTACTGTCACGCGTCTCCTGGCCACTGTTGTCACTGGCCCTTCCTTTGAGTCCACTGCTGCGTTTGCCTTAGTTGCTGAGCTTGTCGACTTTGCTGCTCGCTGCCGTCTAGACTATGCCGCTAGTCTTGTTGCTGAGTCTGAGTCTGTCTGTCCTCCGTCCGTCGGGGGTGAGTGTGCTCTTAGCACGGACGTCCTTGAGGACAGGCACGGGGACCTTGAGTGTCTTGCGGCCGCTGCGCCTCATCTCATGGCCATGCTGCTTGCCCCTGAGGGAGACCCGGATACACCAGACATCCCGACCCCGCGCTCTTACATAGAGGCGATATAGGGTCCCTACTCCTCTCAGTGGCAGTCAGCCATGGACGCAGAGATGGCATCCTGGAAGTCCACAGGCACTTACGTCGACAATGTTCCCCCTCCTGGGGCGAACATCGTCAGTGGCATGTGGATTTTCAGGATGAAGCGGCCGCCGGGTTCTCCGCCTGTCTTCAAGGCGCGTTACATTCCTCGAGGCTTCAGTCAGCGACAGGGAGTTGACTTCTTCCAGACCTTCTCCTTGACCTCGAAGATGACCACTCTTCGGGTTCTGCTGCACGTCGCTGCTCAGCGTAACTACGAGCTTCACTCTCTTGACTTTAGCACTGCTTTCCTACAGGGCAGCCTGCACGAGGAGATCTGGCTGCGCCGCCCACCTGGCTTCACTGGGTCGTTTCCTCCAGGTACCCAGTGGAGCCTCCGGCGGCCAGTCTACGGTCTCCGCCAGGCACCTCGCGAGTGGCACGACACACTGAGGACGACTCTTGCGGCTCTTGGCTTTGCTCCCTCTTTTGCTGACCCGTCGCTGTTTCTACGCACCGACACTTCTCTGCCGCCGTTCTACATCCTCGTGTACGTTGACGACTTGGCTTTTGCCACTGCTGACACTGAGGCACTGACTCTAGTGAAGTCGGAGCTGCAGAAGAGACACACGTGCACAGACCTGGGTAAGCTGCGCAGCTTTATTGGCTTGCAGATCACCCGGCACTGAGCACGCCGCACCATTACCTTGACTCAGTCACACATGGTGCAGCATGTCCTTCAGCACTTCGCCTTCCAATACTCCTCGCCACAGGCCACTCCTCTGCCTACGGGTCACTCGCTCTCAGCTCTGATGAGTCCGTAGAGCTGAGTGGCCCGTATCCAGAGCGTGTGGGCTGCCTCATGCACCTGATGACCTACACTCAACCTGACCTTGCTTACCCTCTTAGCATCCTGGCACGCTATGTTGCGCCCGGGAGACACCGACCAGAGCACTGGAAGGCCGCTAAGAGGGTGATGCGCTACTTGTGCTGTACGTCGGGCACAGGGCTTGTGCTTGGAGGACGGGGTCCAGTTGTCCTCACTGGTCACGCAGACGCTTCTTGGGTTGACGACTTGGCTACGCAGCGGTCGTCATAGGGTTACACCTTCAGCCTTGGCTCCGGTTCTGTTTCGTGGCGGTCTACCCGCTCGTCTTCTGTTCTCAGCTCCAGTTGTGAAGCTGAAATCTACGCAGGGGCCATGGCTGCACAGGAGTTACGCTGGCTCACCTACCTGCTGACCGACATGGGAGAGCCGCCTCGTTCTCCTCCAGTTCTGTACGTCGACAACAAGGCCATGATTGCCTTATGTCAGGAGCACAGACTGGAGCACACAACGAAGCACATAGCTCTGCGCTACTTCCTTGCTCAAGAGTTGCTGCAGCGTGGTTAGCTTTGTCTTGCTTACATGGCTTCTCAGGCTAACACTGCTGATATCTTCACCAAGGCACTTCCGCCTTGTGATCATCAGCGTTTCTGTACTGTTTTAGGCCTTGTGCCTACTTGGCCTCACTTGCTCACTTCTTGACTTTGCTTGTACTGTGATCTATATACTCATACCTGCATGTTTACACTTGCTAGGTTGTGATCACTGTACAGTTTGCTCTCCTTTATATATAACTCTGCATGTGAACTGGCCTTGTGGCCATTTCCTTGTGCTCGGATTGTGTGGTGACTTCGTGATCCACCCTGAGCTTGCTTTGTCTTTCTTGACTGGTCTTGTGACCTCTTGTTCTCCCCCACTTTGCCTATGGGGGTGTGTCAAACTATGTGTTGCTTGTTGTGCAGGCTGTAGTGGGGTAGCTCATATGGGGTACAACCCAAATTAGAGTTTGCTACTTGTACCCATCCTGCTCCTAGTTCATTCATTCCTGTTCATTATTCTGACTAACATGCTAACCGAGGCTAGGTTAGGTCATGCCGAACCTGTCGTACCTACTGCCGTACCTAGGTCACGTTTCCACCACGCTGCCCCTTATGCGCTTCCTTGCACGCGCCATTATTTCTGCCCCGCGTGCGCCCCTTGTGCTGCCCCACACGTGCCCTTGTGCTGTCATGCGCGCGCCCTTCGCACTGTCCTGCGCGCGCCGTTTGTACTGCTCCGCGCACGCCCCGTGCGTTGCCCCACGGGGGCCATTCGCGCAGCCGCTGCCTATGCGCCGCGTGCTGCTCTGCCCCGCGCGCTCGCCCTGCCTCGTCGGATCGTGCTGCCTCATGCGCTCGCCCTGGCCTACCCCTTCGCGCTGCCTCACGTGCGCCGCCGCCGCTGCTTGCGTGCCGCCCCTGCCCCGCATGCTACTGCCGCCCCGTGCGCCGCCCTGCCTCATGCGCCACCCTGCCTCATGCGCCGCCGCTGCCCCATGCGCCACTGCTGCCTGCACAACCATGGCGCGGCCCCTGCCCAGTATGACGCGGCTGCTTGGCACCACTACTTCCCGCGAGCAACCGCACCCGCCGCCGCCGCCTTCTCTACAGCTGCTGCCGCCGCCGCCTTCTCTACAATTGCTGCCACCGCCGCTACTACCGCTACTACCACTGCCGCTGCTTCTGCTACACCCGCTTCCGCTACACCCGCTTCCGCTACAGCCACAAAAGCTCCCGCTACAGCCGCAACTGCTGCCGTCATAGCTGCTACCACTGCCCCTGCCGCAACGGCTCCCGCTGCCACCACTGCCTCTGCTGCTGCCGCTAAAAACACATATAACGCACCTCACAAACTTCACCTGAAAACTCGTTAATGCAACCCTTCACTTACGGAAACTCATGAAAACCCACAAATACAACCTTTCTACTCTTGAACCGTCAAGACCATTCTTGAACTGTAAACGCTCTAACGTAAAGCACAGAAACCCGCATCTCACGTTCAAAACTCTACTCTCATTTGAAACTCATCCTTCAGTTGTAGTTGCTACGAACCACTCGAACCACGCGAGAGGGGAGAGGGGGGCGGCGCCGCGGCCTCGCGGAGAGGGGGGGCCGCGGCGCCGCGACCGTGCGGAGAGGGGATTCCGGGCCGTGCGGAGAGGGGGGGGCGCGGTGCTGCGGTTGTGCGGAGAGGGGGGGGGCACGGGTTGCGTAGAGAGGGGGGCCGCAGGCAGCACGGAGAGGGGGAGCCGCGACGCCGCGGCTGCGCGGAGAGGGGGAGCCGCGACGCCGTGGCCGCGCGGAGAGGGGGGGTTGCGGCCGCACGGGCAGGGGGCCGCGGCGCCGCCATCGCGCGAAGAGGGGGCTGCGGCGCCGCCGTCTCCCGAAGAGGGAGGCGCGGCGCTGCCGTCGCGCGAAGAGGGGGCCGCGGCACCGCGGTCGCGGGGAGAGAGGGAGCTGCGGCCGCGCGGAGAGGAGGGCGCGGGCCGCGGCGCCACGGCAGCACGGAGAGGGGTGTTGTGCCAACATAGTACAGTGGCACGGTTATCGCACTCCCATTCAGTCTACAAGCCTGCTCAGCTTCTGGAATTTTGTGGGGAAGTGCTTCAACATGTGTTCTTCAAACCCTCAAAGTTTCTGAATTTTTGAAGCAGTTTACTAGGCATGGCAACATTTTAAATTTCAAGACTTATGGCATGCCGGAAGTGTGTGTTACTCTTTTTTGGTAACACGCGAGTTCACTATTTCGGCTGCTGACTTGTCTACCGAGTTGCTAGTTGCTATTTGGCGGGGTTTGAGCTGGCCCCATAAGTTCTAGAAATAACAAGCATGGCAAGAGTGGGGTGACTGATAGATAATGGGGATTGGAAACCTATATTCGCTGCACGATAGATGCAAAAATGCCGCGTTCAGCAGGATTCGAACCTACGCGGATTTCAAGTATGTCACGTTAACCACTCAGGCATGAACGCCTGAGATTGTGAATTCCAAATAAGTTATTGTTTGTGTTAGTAATCGGGTCTCTACTTGAATCTGTTCTTTTCGGGTACACACCGCAGAAACCTCTCTCTCTGGTGACGTGGATTCTCGAGAATGTTCTCCCACTACTATCGAAAAGATTCTCCATGCTATAACGAGAATATTCTCCACAACGCTAGGCTAACTCCCGCTCCCGTAAGTTTCTCAATTTTCGCCTGTTCATGCCTCATTTCCCGCGTCTCCAAAAGCTGAATCCTACCTATACGAGCGCATCTGTCGGATATCCACCAGAGGAGTCGTATCCTGAGATCGTCTCCTCTTTTTCGTCCTCTCCACGTCGCAGTTTTGCTGTCTCCAATCAAGCCTTTCCACGCCCGACACGCTCGCATCGCGTTTCGAGACGTCTCGGAACGATTCGTTCGCGTCGCGTTATTAACCGTGCCCGCGCATCCTCGCGGATTCGAGAGCATCGATGTGGTTCGGGAAGCATTTGGACAACATTCGGCCAACGTTTGGGCAGAATACGGGCTTCATTCGGGCAGCATGTCGACTAATCTAGGGCCGGGCGGCAATCTCGAGGGAATTCTCAAGTGGAGCCTCACTCGCTCCGATGGCACGGCCCCCGCTCGACAAATCACGTGAGTGGTGTTGGGCCCCGCCCGTCAGATTACGTGAGTGCAGTTCAAGTTGGAACCACTTGAATCGAGTGAGGAATGGGAACTTGTTGAACGAGATCAGAATTGTGGGGGGGGGGGGGGGGGGGGGGGGGGGGGTGGGGGTGACCCATTTGCTCATCTTTTTCTCTTTCCACTTGCCTTTCCTTATGACGAGGAGGAGCGGCAGTGGTTCAACTAGGCGATGCAGGCGGCGGTGGTGGACATAGTGCAGCTAATAATGGAGAACAGCATGGTGATTACCGTCACTGAGGAGGCACTTCCTTCTCTTCCTCTTGCCCTTCCTACTATTTCTTTCGTGTCCATCCTTGCAGGGAAGAGGAGCGGCAGTGGTTCAACCAGGCAAGGCGGCAGTGGTGGATGTTGTTTAAAGGATCCGAGGCAGGGGGTGAGGGGGGTGACTCATTTGCTTTTCTCTGTCTCTTTCTTCCCGCCTTTCCTTGTAGGAAAGAGGAGCGGCAGTGGTTAAACCAGGCAATGCAGGCGGCGGTGGTGGACATAGTGCAGCGGATGAAGGAGATCAGTATAGGGTCACTGAGGAGGGGCTGCTGTGTTGCCCTCTCATGCTCTTGTCTTGCTCGTTTCCCTTGTCCACCCTTCATCCCTTCGTTCCTCGCATTCACTTCTCCCACCCCCTTCCTGTCCCCGCCACCAGGGAGGAGGAGCGGCAATGGTTGAATCAGGCCAGGCAAGCGGCGGTGGAGGATGTTGTTCAAAGGATGAAGGAGATCAGCATGGTCATGGCCATCACTGAGGAGGGGCTGCTGGCCTCACACTCTCTCCTCATTCTCGTTTCCCTTGTCCGTGCGTTCCCCCTTTCGTCCTCACGTTCCCTCCGCCTTCCAGGGAGGAGGAGCGGCAGTGGTTCAATCAAGCGATGCAGGCGGCGGTGGTGGATATAGTGCAGCGGATGAAGGAGATCAGCATGGTGATGGCCGTCACTGAGGAGGGGGATGATGGGGGTGACTTACTCACGCGTCTTTCTCTTTTCTCTTTGCCCTCTTTTCCTTGCAGTGAGGAGGAGTGGCAATGGTTCAACCAGGCCATGCAAGCAGCGGTGGTCGACATAGTGCAGTGGATTAAGGAGATCAGCATGGTGATGGTCATCACTGAGGAGGGGCTGTTGCAGTGAATTCTCAAGTGAATTCTCAAGTGGAACCCTAAACCCTTTTGGTACTTTAGGTTCCTTTTCCTATCTCCTTCCGCCAGACCTGAAGGCCATAGGAGGCTTGGAGCCGCTGCTGCATTTCCTCAAGTCTCCTCATGCAATCCTGCGTGCGCAAGCAGCAGCCCTCTGAGTGTCTTTCTCCCTCCTTACCTCCCTCCCCGCCGACAGACCTGAAAGCCATAGGAGGCTTGGAGCCGCCGCTGCGTTTCCTCAAGTCCCCCCATGCAATCCTCCGCGCGCGGGCGGCAGAGATGGTAACCACCATGGTGCAAAACAACGAAAAGAGCCAAATCAACGTGATGGATGCGGGCGCCCATCTGACCCTCATGGATATGATTCTGCACGATGTTGACGTCACTGCCAGAACCAAGGCCGTGGGGGCAATTTCATGTGAGTAGTATGGGTTTGTTGTGGGGGGTTTGAGGGGTATTGGGGGCGGTGGGGGTGGAGGAGTGAGGTAGAGCTCGTTTCTATGCATGTTTCAGTTTGTTTCCCTCCAGTTCCCCTTCAAAACCTCGAATCCCTTCATGCCGGCTTGTTTCCCCCAATACCCCATTGTTTCCTCTAACGCCCGTCTGTTTCTCCCAACGCTCCCGTTTCCCCCCACACTCTACGTTTCTCCCCGTTTACCCCTCCACTCACTCCCCCTCCCCCTCTTCTCCACCACTTTTCTCTGCCCCACCTTCCCACCAGCCTTGGTACGCCGTAATTCAGAAGGCATGGTGTCCCTTCAAGCCCTCGTCGGCATTAACCGACTCACCTCGTTAATATCCTCTGCCGCTCAACCCACCAACGACACCACCACCACCACAGACACCAGCAGCAGCACCACCACCACCACCACCAAGCTCCTTCTTAAGGCCCTCCATCTGGCGCTCTATTTTCTACAGCAATTCCCTTCTGACCATCCCTTGGCTCTCTCCTCTGGCCTGCTCGCCTTGCTGCTACAGCCGGGGATGGTGGGGTCCCAGGACGGGGATGTGAGGCTGGCAGTGCTGCAACTGCTGCAGGATCTAGCTCCTGATATGACTGTTGGTACTGCCGCTGCTGCTACTGCTGCTACTGCTGCCACAGCTGCTGTTGGTGATGGTGGTGATGCTACTGCTGCCGCTGCTGCTGCTCCCAATGCAACTGATAATGAGGGGGGAGCAAGAGCAAGGGGGATGAGGTTTCTGGAGTAGAGGTGGTTATTGGGGCCAGAATGGAGGCTATATCTGCCCTGCAGAAGCGCCAAAGCCGATGAGAAAACTCAGGTGGTTCAGGTGGGGTGTCAGAGCCGGATTCCGTTGACCTTCAGGAGGAGCTGGATGCCTTGCTCGCGATGAGGCGTGCTCTGATTGGCCAAAATCTGGCTGTCGCCATGGGAGAGAGCGGAAAGGTGGGCCAGTGGGGGGGCGACAGGTGCTGTAGGTGGGGCGAAAACAGGAGTAGCAGCAACAGAAGCGGGTTCCCAACAGCCGCTGATATTTTTGGGAGCACCATGAGCAGGGGGAGATGGGGGGGGGGGGAGGGGGAAAGAAGAGGGGAGAGGTGAGGAGAAAGTGGAGAGTGGAAAAGGCGCCTGCCACCAAGGGGGAGAGTGGAGAGGCGGGCACTGGGGAAGCAAGGGGAAGAGCAAAAGCATACAGGGGATGTTGTGGGGTTGTGGGTAGGTAAGCATACGGTGGAATTTTGGGGAGTGTAGCAGAAGCCTTTTTTGTTTTCTTGCCCCAAAATATGTTTTCTTGGGAGCAAACATTATTGAATCATGGAAGGGTTACTCCATTATTGAACAATGATAGATGCATTATAACATAATGACGTACTAATAGCAACTTACCTCAACAGGTTACCCAAGTTACCTCAACACATACTAATGGGAGGAATTTGCATGACTTTCCGATACAGAGCAGACGGGTTTCTACGATAGCCTAGCTATCGTTGTGCCGCCCCAATCAGCAGGTTACATGATCGCTGTTCAGTGTTGGTTTCACAATGACCTAGCAGACGGAATTGCACTAGCCCACCATGGGAAATCCACTACGGCTCAGCAGAGGGGATTCTGCGGCTAGTGAAATGATTTGTGAGGGTAGAGGTTTCCAATGGTTGCCTGCCATCAAGCAAACAAGCTTCAGCCATTGAGAATGTGGAGGGAGGGAGGCATTGGCGACATGCGAAATCAATCTTATTCGTTTGGCGATTAGATGACAACAGCAGCGAAGAACCCTTTCTATGTGTCCAAAGCTCGCAGATTCTGTCGCATTAGTTACCATGCTGACATTCGTTGGTGGAGCTGTCGCACTCCGCGAGAGGATCCTTTGCGTGTTGCTGACGCCACTTTAGCCTACAAAATTGCAGGTGCCCCTCAAGGTTCCTGAGCAAACCTTTCCACCACGTCTAATCCAACTCAACCGAAGCTAGAAGTAGCTCAGTATGGTAAGAGGTTCGGCAAGTTTTCGTGGTGTGCTTCGGGTCGCAAACCGTCGCTTTCCCATGGCATCCTTTAGGTTAGAGATGCATGCCAAGATCGAACATGCGGTTTGATAGGTTGAATATGGTGGTGTTCGCCAGCACATGAAAATTTGAAATAAACTTAAAGGCATCGAAATGGCAACGGAATCAGGAACCGGAGGCAGAACCTGCCGAAGAGGTTTTGTCAAACATTATACTTGTTATATTTGTGTAGGCTATAGTGGGTTAGCCTATAGGGGGTTCACAACTCTAGGGTTACATATTTGTACTCTCACTTCTTTCTAGTCCAACACTTCTTCTTTCTAACAGGTTTGGGCAAAACGCCACCCGCGAAACTTCGGGTCCTGAAATGGGAAATGTGGCAACGGCATCAGGAAGCTCCATCCCAACCTTCCCCCCTACTGGCACGAAATTTTTGCATGGCTGACCATTGCCTGACCGAGGGCCCAAAAGTACTAGACTAGGGTAAAAACTGAAAAGAAAAAATGTCACCAAGGCCGACAAACACGACCAGTCAAGAGGCGGTCCAGCGTATGCTGATCACTTACTTCAAGGTCATCCTGGAAGGGTGCTGGGAGTTATGCGCATGGAACCCTACCTCGTAACCCGCCTATTAAACATACTCGTGAGTCACGGCCTTCTCATCGAAGGGCGCAGCCAGACACCTGCCGAACAGCTACTAATATTTCTACATTTTGTAGGACAGTCCCCATCAAGAAGGGTGATGCAGGAGACTTGGCAGCTGTGAGGATCTTGGATCGAATTCAGAAAAGTGAATGAAAACTGAATGATTTACCTGGGTACAACACAAGGCTATATTTAGTCTCGACACAAGGCCTAGTAACCAGGTGTTACCATGAAGGTTCCGAGGGTCGTGAAGCGTCCCGAATGGAGCCTTCCCGAATTTGGTAGAAGGCAATTCGGTGGCAACCGAAAAGCCTAGAATTTGGTGCACGCAACCTAGCGCGGTGCTAAAACTATAAAAAAAATATAAGAAAGCACCTAGCCTAGGAAATCAAGCAAAACATGCATGAGATAATAAGCCTAAGATAGAAATAGCAAAATAAAGTAAAGGCAAGCAAGCAGAGCTAGCATTAGTCGTTGTACTCTCACTCGTCCCCCTCTCAAAGCTGGGTGGCGTGAGAAACTGTTGGGTGCAACTACTTAATTTGCACGTCAACCTACCGCCTATTTGACAACGGTATAAGAAAATGGGGAGTTTTGTTTTGAAGGTAATTTGTGGTGTGAGAAATGTCTTTTCATGTTGCATTTTGTGTGTGCGCATTTTGTGTGTGCTCTGTGCGCATTCGTCTTTGCATTTTTTGTGTTCCGTTTTCATTCGTAATTGGATTTTGTGTTTCTGCATTTTCAGTTCTGTTTTCATTGTTCTCATGAAGCTCTCATGAAGCGCTCAAATGAGGCTCACATGATGCGCTCAAATGAGACTCTCACGAAGTCTCAAATGAGACCCTCATGAAACCCAGATGAGTTCCCATGAAAGTCAAATGAGAAATATTTCATGGGAGGCTCATATGGGCGAGTTCGAATGATTTATGCGAAGCTCATTGGAGTGCCATAAGCCTCGAATGTTTCATTGGAGGCTCATGTGAGTGAGTGGTGTGCTGGGGGCCTCGAAAGTTTGACTGGTCAAGGGGGGGTGCTGTTTGACCGTTTCGCGCGAGTCAAAGGGTGCGAAAATCAGGACTGCATGTGGGGTCCTGATTCGCGCGTGTGGCCCCTCAGGGCTCGGGCGTGTGCCACGTCCGGTTGCGCGTGCACTGTACTGCACAATCGCAACAAGACAGGGCCCGTTTTGGCCCTGTCCCGCACTGTACGCGCGCATGATTTCAATCATGACGCGCTGTACAGCACGACCGAGAAAAATCTCGGTCGTGCGTGTGGCACGAGGGGTGCTCGGAATTTACAGTTGAAAAACTGTTTTCCGAGTTGACTCACGGGACGGGAAATTTCTCGCAAAAGTCATTTCGCTTAACGGAATCCATTCGACACAGGTGCAAATCGGTTACTCCGTTTTTCAAACGGTAAAAACCGTTATATAACTGTGAGCTTGCATGAAGACATTGGAGCTGCATTGGAGCCACATGCGAGCCTCATCAGTGTACACATTTGAGTCAGGCAGGGGCAACTGTTACAAGTGCAATTTGAAGACAGTTTTTAACAACAGGAGGATATAGCCAAATGTTCAAGGAGTTGAACAACCGTTTTCAAGTACAGCTTGGCGAAATCCTGCGCGCTAGTTGAACAACTGTTATGTGCTTGCTCCTGCCTGTGCGTAGAATTTATATAAATGTGTATGCTTGTACCTGTCGAGATCAATCTAATGCATTCGCGTCTTTGCAAGCTTGAATTCCACTACTTCGTATTGACGAGAGTAGAAACGACCACGGTGCTACCGAAACTTTGTTCGACCAGTTCACTCATTCTACAAGCATAAACAAGGCATAACTACTCACTTGCGTTTTTCCTACGCCCTTGGCTGGGAGGTGACAAGGAGTCACACTCGAAGGGCTGCAAGTGATGTTAAGTGTTGCTAAGTTTTTGTTTGTAGTTCAAGCCTAATCGCTTCCGCAGAACGCTATAGCTGTCAATAGAAACAGCCTGCTTGAGAGCACGGCGTGCGTTGCCCATATCAGCTTCTGCAACTTAATTGTCCTCTGTGGGGTCATATCCCTTCCAGCGTATCAGGAGATCAAGGGTCTCGCCGACGCGGCGCTGATGAGTGAGAACGCGCTCGATCTCGTACTCTAGTTCATCCTATACGAGTGCAGGTGGTGGTGGCGGTAGCTGCCATCCCTAGAACTGCTGGTTGGGGTCCTTGTAGGGCATCAGTAGCTGAACCTGGAAAGCGTTGTGAAGCTTCCACGTAAAAAGGTAAGCGCAAGCGGAATGCAACTGGTGTCACCTGTGCCTCAACGAGATAGGGACCACAGAAGCGAGGCCGAAGTTTGGATGGTAGGTGTGACATGTTCAAATTGCGCGTGTCGTGGAGCACCTGATTTCCGACTGCCACTGAGTGATCTCGTCGCTGAGAGTGGTGAGACGTCGCTGAGTCTTCTCCCATAGCTGCTGCATGGTGGTGACGAAGTCGTGCACGGCTTGGACGTGTGCCGGTGTGGTTGGCTGCTGTGGGGTAAGTGGCTCCCGTCCGTAGCACAAGAAGAAAGGAATTTTCCCAATGGCCACATGCGAAGCGTTGTTGTAAGCGAACTCCAGTAGCTGACGTCGTCTTTGCAAGCTGTGCGCAGAAACTATTCAACCACTTGATTGAGTCGCTCCGTTTGTCCGACAATTTGGGGGTGGTATGTTGAAGTCATCGCAAGCTTTGTCCCCAACAATCCCATGAGCTCCTTCCATAACTTACTAGTGAATTAAGGGCCTCTATATGAGACAAGTGTAGCGGGGATGCCGTGGATGGTGATGATGCGGTCGAAGAAGAGGCGAGCAGTTGCTTCAGCTGTTGCCGTGGCGTTGGTCGGAATGAAGTGACCCATTTTGGAGAACTTACCAATTACCACGAGGATGGCGTCATGCCATTGTGAGGTCGAAGGAAGTCCCGTGATGAAGCTGCTCCGATAAGGGTAGAGGTTGGAGTAGCCCTGCTCTTTTTCTGCTTGCTACTCTCAATCCGCTGGCACGTGTCGCATGAGGTGACGAACTACTGCACGCATGCGGCCATCCGGGGCGAGTAGTAATGTTTTGCTATCCTTGTTAATGTCTTGTTGCTCCCGAAATGTCCGGCGTATGGTACATCGTGAAACTCCTATAGTAGGA